ATATATAATATATTATATAATAATAAGAAGGTGTTTGCAGAAATAACATTTACAAACTGTCTATACAGTACACAGTACTAGTACATAGAAAATAGATTCTAACTTTATGACCCCCTTTGCGTAAGGCAAGACTGAATCTGTCCCCAAATTTAGTCAGCCAGAGGTACAAGCAAGAAACAGTGGTCCATGAATGAATGGATATGCAAATCAGGTGCCTGCATATTAAAAATCTAGAGACACAAGGAATCCCACTTTTTATCTGTGCTGATTCTGGCTTGCTGGATCCATCAACTACATTTCTGAAAACATTAACATCACCTGGATGGCAACAGAGTTTGTTCAAGTGGCAGCTACCCAAAACAGTTTTTTGAAGAGTCCAGTATACAACTGGAGGACTGCAGCTGTACCAGGCAAATTTATATAGCACTTACAAAAGAAAAAAAAAAAGTATATTAATACTCTATTTCATGCTATTGCTATTCAAGCAACAGCAATACAAAATATACAAGACAGATCACATATGATTGCAATGTAGACCCCTCAAAGATTTTGAGGGTGCTATTAGACAAGACTTGGAAAAAAAACAAAAAGAGGCAAAAGTCATTGGCGGATGTAAACATCCCTGTTCCACTCCCCAGCCTCATTCCGTTTTTTGGATATTACTTCTCCATCTTTGTCACAGTAGCGATCCTTGGATTTGTGACGGCTCCGTTGTTTGTTGCACTCGTTGTGGTCCTGCTCTCGGTCTGCGTCCCTGGAACGGTGCCGAGACTCCCTGTGTCTGTGGTCACTGCTCCCATGGGGCTCATCTCGGTGGTTATGCTCACGGTGTGAAGTGTAGTGGTCTATATGTTCATGGGAATACTCTTCCTTTGGCTCCACATAGGCAGAGTCTCGACTCTCTTGGGTTTCTGAGTCAAACGTCTCTTGCCTGGAGAGGCCTCTACTTGTCCCACTGCGATGGTTGTGGTGTGGGGCTGAGGAGGAAGAGCGATGCTGGGATTTCTTGACTGGTTCCACACTAGGTTCTTCTTCAGGTTGGGAAGCAGAACGGGCAGGAGCAGAGCGATCAGTCCTCTGGTCACCTTGAGAACCCTGGCAGTGAAGGGAGTGCACACAGGCGTTAGCCACAGTCAGTACATAAAAAACTAACATGTCACAGAGTAATTCATTCTGGTCCTTTGTTGAGTATCTAAAATGCTGAAATGAGACTACTTAATTTCTTTAATAATGTCCAGTGGCATTTAAGATTTACTATATGAAATAGTACTTTAGGTTAATTTGTAAATGCCTAGAACAGAGTACATGGCAACCTTTGTTTTAAGTTAGTAGATGAAGGACCAAGTGTTCTTTTATATGTTTTCTTGGGGCTTAAAGACAGATACAGGTCCCTGAGATTTTTTTTTTAGACATGGGTGTACACTTAACTACCTCTGCTTGAGTATATGTGAAAAGATTAAAAATCATTAGCATGCTATTAATAGCTTTGGCTCAATATTAGGAGTAAGAAAACCATTCAAAATAATTGAAAATATCACTTACATGACACTTAATATAGGACAAGCACTGTTCTAGAACTTTCACACACACTCAATAATGCAACCGTGAGATCAAGTAATCTTATGAAAAAGGACAGGAGATCATTAATTATAACAACCACATGAGACAGGTTGCCTTTCTTATTCTTATTCTTGAGGCAACTGAGTGGTTAAGCAACTTGTCCAAGGCTATCATCCTATACCAGGTAAGAGGTGGAGTCAGTATTTGAATCTCATTAGCATGTAACAACAGCCTGCTGCTGACAGTGTAGAAAATTCTTCCAGCCCTGTTTTAAAGAACATGTAGTTAGTGAGTTTTAGTCTCTATATGTTCATAGTATATTATGGTTACAGTGCTTTCCTTATACAGCTCACACCGAATTTGCTTAAATGAATCATACTGTTGGTCACAGTTTAGGTAGAGTTAATATACTGAGACAAACACTACATTGGCTATTAGGGCTTGGATCTCAGTGTCACCTTAGTTAGGCCCAATTTCACTGTGAAGACTGTGGAAAAGAAGTGCTCTCACCTGTGAATTAGAGGCTAGAGTGGGGCTGATAGGCAGGGTTGAAGTAGCTAAAGTACGACTAAGGAGAGGGTTGGGAAGATTGCTGCTGGGAGGATGCGTGGCCTTCCAGTAGGCCTCCAAGTAGTCAGCTAGGTGCTCGCAAGCATCTTCAAGTTGATTCTCATCCAAGATCACATCAAACAGCTCCTGCAGAGGTGAACATTTTAGACAGGACACTTAAATATGCCAACCCAGGCCTAGCAGAGATCTCGTCCCCTCCTCCAACCTCATAAAAGAGGGAGAGTAAAAGGGGTTCATGAACTATACCACTGTTGTATTTATTCTTCTTTATATGCTCCTACCTTTTCCTTTTCTGTTGTTGAACATCCTGTTTAGTCAAATTGTAAGTGTCCACCCTCAGATCATTGTTCAGAAGTCCAAATGCTCAACCAGGAACAATGATCAGAAAGTGAACAGGTGTCATAACGGCTGTTAAGGGCATGACAGTACAGGAAATAAAAAATTATTAACTTTCCAGAGAATGCATGTACTCAACAAACAGAGAGGGGGAGAGAGAAAGCACCTCTCTATGGAGCAGGGTCATTCTCATTCCCTTCTGCATTTCTACACCTTGTTGGGATTTGGGCCATGCATGCACAAAGCACCTGGCATGTTTTACAAGCCAGGGCTAGGATTTGAACTGTGTGGTCAGCCATGTGTGATCAAGCTGCTTTAACCACCAAGCCATGGAGCTGGACCAGAAATGTTGCCTATGAATAGTGGGGGAAAACAGCATTGATACAATGGTAGAAAAGACATTTAAAAAACAAAAGAAAGAGGGAACCAGCAGTTAGCGTAATGGCTATGTCGCTGGACTCCCACGTAGTCGACCGTGGTTCGTGTCCCGGACCCGGTGGCTTAAAACTCAAGCCGGGCGCGTGTGCGTACGTGCCCAAGATCCCGAGAGGAGAATGGAGGAGAAGGGATTGTGGCATGACCATCCCCCCTGGGGGGTGATTTCTCGCTTTCTGTCTCTATGTCTCTCTCTGTCTATCTGGCGAGTGCACGCGCCCTACAGTGAAAATCTCTCCAAAAAAAAAAAAAAGAAAGAAAAATCTGTATAGTACATGAAGCAACCTATTCTTGACACAGAGACATTGAAAAGCTTAATTTAGAAATTAATGAGACAAGATTAGGACATGAAACTTAGCAGAAGCAGCTGGAATCACTGATGATTTGACATGGTCCCAATTGCACTGTAGTTTATTAGAGAAGGAAGAAAAAGCCTACTTTTCAAAAGATTTTCTGAAGTGTTGATCATAAATTTTAACATACTTCAAGCAGTCATAATTGATATAATCTTAACTCACAGTTTCTGAAATAATTGTACTTAAGAAAGGGAAAATAACAGAACTGAGATGAGATTTGTGTCCCCAAGGCACAGTATGTAAGGCACAGAGTAGGAGTGCACAAGGGAATCCTGAGCATGCCACGCGTATATGCCTATCATCAGGCCAATGGGATGGATCACTGAATGAAGACCCTGTTGGTGGTGCCTGCCCACCCTGCCCAGAAGAAATTCATCACTTTTTAAAAAAAATTATCTGAGCTACTTGTCATTTACAAATTTATTTCTTACCTGGTCTTACATTAATTGCTGTCATTAAGAGTAGGCAACTTGCTCCTTATGATCAAAAATGAATAATACACAAACCCCAAGATCAATCTTACAAACCAAAACTGAACTCAAAATCTTGTGTTAGATTTTAACAAAGTAGAGTAGGTTTTATAAAAGATACTCATGATATCTGGATTATCATGTGCTCAAAAGTTCTGTGATCATGGAAGGAGGCAGGACAGTTCAAACCTCTGGAACCACTTTCAGTGATGACGGTTCCCATCTCTGACAAGTGTTTAACTTTTTAAAAATGTGCCTTTTTTTTTTTTTTTTTTTTGAGAGAGAGATTTTCGCTATAGGGCTCATGCGCTCGCCAGACAGACAGAGAGAAACATAGAGACAGAAAGCGAGAAATTACCCCCCTGGGGGAATGGTCACGCCGCAATCCCTTCTCCTCCATTCTCCTCTCGGGATCTTGGGCACGTATGCACACGCGCCCGGTGTGAGTTTTAAGCCACTGGGTCTGGGAGGCGAACTGCAGTCGACTACGTGGGAGTCCAGCGACATAGCCATTATGCTAACTGCTGGTTCCCAAAAATGTGCCTTTTTTAAAATATAGTCTCATCTGATCTCTTCAAATAGATGATACTGTGTATAGAGATAACTTACCGGAGGACACTGAGCCAGTTTATCAGCTGCTACCATCTGGACATTGAGGTGTTTAGCTTGAGATTTCCCTCGAGACTTTATTAACCTTTGTAAAACCTGTAAAAGATATGAATTCTTAACAAATATCTGTACTCAGGTAAACTACACGGTACACTGTTTGCTCCTTTCTCAGGAGTAAAGAGGCTTTTTATATGGGTCTTATTTTTTTTTTATAAACAGCACAATTGGCTTATAATAAACTGGGTATAAAATACAATGCATAAGACTTATGCAAAATTAACAAGACTTCATACATCTAAGCTGCAAGCTTTGAGGACTAACATACAGGTTATTCTGAGTCTTTTCTAGGCTCAATTTGTATCATGACCTTTTTAATATTTATTTATTTATTTGACCAGAAAGAGACAGAGAGGAAGAGGGAAAAAATGAGAAAACAAGCTGCTAGGTCCAGGACTCAAATTGTGGTCAGCCATGTGGGAGCCCAGCAATGTAACCACTATGCCATCTGCTGCCCCCCCCTCAATTTTTTTTTTAACCATGAGAGGGGCTGGCAGGTGGTGTGGTTCTAGTCCTGGACTGAGAGGCTTGAAAATCACGCTGGGCACATGTGTGCCCAAGATCCCAGGAGGAGAATGGAGAAGAGACTGCTGAATGGCCATCTCCCTCCAGGGTGGTTTCTTACTTTCCCTCCACTGTCTCTGTCCCTCTGGCAAGCACATGTGCCCTATGGCAAAAACCTCTTAAAAAATTATTGATAAGGCCCAAGAACTCTCATTTATATGAATACATCTAATACTTTCCATATTAGAAATTAAGACAAGAAATAAAAAGCATAGTAATTCACCTAGAAAGTAAGTCTGTTAATGTTAACATAAATTACTTATCTTTATTAAAATAACTATAGTTTTTGCAAATTTGTGTAATGCCTGGCTTCCTAGAAGACAGCTTAACTCTCATCTACATCTATAGTATACTACCATGTATTGTGTTGGTTGAAATATAGGAAGAAAATCCAACCTCCTATAGATAAGTAGTTGAGAAAAGGAGAAATATTCAATAGTCTTTTCAGATAACTGTGGATCTTCTTCTTTGATACTACACTAAAACTTATCATGTTCCTTCAAGACCAGTTGCCACGTGGTATTTAAAATCATATCAATGACCATTTCTTACTCCATTACCTTAAGTTCCATTGGTCTGTCTTGAGATTCAGATGGATCATTTATAACATCATTTGTAACATCATTCATTGATCATTTGGAAAATATGGCTCACTAAGTTCTTCAGGTCTTCTGAATGTTAACATATTTTGTTATGCAATATTAAAACATCATGATAGTTCACATTATCATTGATCTCATCAGAAAAGTCCCTATTGGGAGTTGCCAAACTCTCAGAGATGGATACAGATTTTCCAAAATTCTAATTTTTGTTTGAAATCTTCAGTATTATCATTGGCAACAAATGCTCGTAAGTTATTATCCTTGAACTGACAGGCTCACTTTATTCCAATATCTGCCAAATACCTAAGTTTAAGTAAGCATAGCCTGTCTGTTGTTCTGTGAGGTAAAAATGACATTCCATGAAAAGTGTCTAGTTTCATTCACAACTGAAAGAATCATACCAGTGCTCGAACTTGAGATAATTGATTTTGCTGTACAGCAGAAGAATTTATGTTTGCCTACAAAGACTTTTCAAATACTCAAAATTTAATAAAGTCCATTTTATTATTTCATTTTGACGTTCTTAAGTAAAACTGGCTTTTCTTTTTATTTAACTCTAAGAGCATGGTGGTGAAAGAATATAACTACTAGTGCTATATGATACCATGGTCTTGATTCTTAGACACCAATGTTTTACCCACCACTATGTTTGCATCAGCCAATGCAAACAGTGGAAAGGGTGAGTAATGTACTAGTATTATTGTAGAAAAGTTTAGATTTTCTCAAAGTATCTCAAAACCCAAAAGAGATCCATAGACCACACTTGATAAGTCACTGTTTCAAACCATGAAACGAACCATGTTTTGCTTACATTAATCTTAAGAATTCCTGACTATAATGTGTATTTCTTCAAATTCTACATCCATCTTAAAGATATAACCTGTTATTATGGGAAAGCAGAACTTAAGACACATTTTAGTCAAGTGTGATTACAGAGTAAATAATAGCAATTCTACTTACCTTGGGAGAAGAAATCTTTACATATACTATAATAGGGGCCAAAGAGGTTTTACTAAGTTGAGCTGGGTGATTAATAGTGTCCGCATCAAGGACTACCAATTGCAATGTTCTTGCAAGTTCAAAAATCCTTTCAATTTCACTCTGAACCTCCGCTGAAAAAGGTTAAGAACAGTTCAGTTACATAAAGTACAGTATGTTCAGTTTAAATTAATATAAAATTGTACAGTATTTTTTCCACAGGAAGGCAGGTAGTTCAGCCATTATGTTTATAGGTGACAAAAGGTATCCTTTCAAAAGGGTTATTTCTCTACAACACCTTTAGAATAAAAATAATTACTCAGCAAGCTATACATTTACAACTAAAGAATATTCTCTCTTTGCTATCTCTGACTCATTTTTTTTGTATTATAAAATGTTCATTCTATGAAATCATTTCATTAGAATGTTGTAAAATAAAAATCTTAAGAAATATCTTTCAGGTGTTGAAGACTGCTTATTCCTGGCAACCATTACCAGCTTTCTTTTCACTGCATGGACTTACCTATGTTTCTGTGTCGCCCATTAGATACATTTATTAGTAAGCTGGAATACAACATAAAACAGAAGAAATGCTGGGTCCAGCAGTTGGCATAATGACTATGTCGCTGGACTCCCATGTAGTCGACCACAGTTTGAGTCGTGAACTCGGTGGCTTAAACTCACACCAGGTGCGTGTGCAATGCGTGCCCAGGATCCTGAGAGAAGAGTAGGGGAGACGGGACTGCCACATGGTCATCTCTCCTGGGGGATGATTTCTCACTTTCTGTCTGTCTGTCTGTCTGTCTGTCTCTCTCTCTCTCTCTTTCTGGTGAACGCACGTGCCCTATAGCAAAAGCCTCTCAAAAACAAAACAAAACAAACACAAACAAACAAAACAGAAGAAACATTAAGGGAGCTCATAACAATCTTATCCAAAAACACATTTCTCATGTTTTCCACCAACAAGGGAAAATAGTCCTACAACATTCATGGTTTTTGTTTTGTTTTTTTGAATCTTTTTGCTATAGGGAGCGTGCACTCATCAGACAGAGAGACAGAGATAGAAGGTGAGAAATCACCCCCCAGGGGGGATGGCCATGCTGCAATCCCGTCTCCTCCATTCTCCTCTCGGGATCTTGGGCACGCATGCACACGCGCTTCCCGGCGTGAGTTTTAAGCCACCGGGTCTGGGATGCAAACCGCGGTCAACTACGTGGGAGTCCAGCAACATAGCCATTACGCTAAATGCTGGTTCCAACATTCATGTTTTAAAAGAACTGTTAAGTATTAGAGGAAACACTTGTAGAAACCAACCAATAAAATTTATAGAGAACTTATTACCAAACATTTAAAAATCTATTTAATCTCCAACAAAATTACATTCAGTTCATTTCCTGTTCTACTATCTCTAAAAAGTCTAAAATAAGACTGTCCACTTCTGTTGGACAGAATTTCTGTGATGATAGAAATATTCTCTATGCTACCTACTATTGTAGCTGCTAGCCACTGAGCTCTTGAAAGGCAGCTAGTATAACTGAGCAGCTGAATTTTTCAAATTGAATTTTAATAATTTAAATAGCCAAAAGCTACTGTGCTTGATAGCATAGGTCTAGAATGCATAAGTTGTAACATGCAGTCCCCACTGCAATAATGGAGAGTCAGTTCTATGAGACTCCTTTTGTCCAGCAAACCTGAACCTACGAATATGTTTTAATTCCCCTTATGCATTTGGATTCATGGCAGAAGAGCTCCAGAGATAATTTTAACTAGTATATTATTCCAGAAAAGGCAAGTCACCGTGTTTGCTTTACAGTATGTTGTGACTGGAGTCCTCATCTTTGAATGTCTTAAATCAGATCCCACGGTACTTGGGATAGTAGCTTGAAAATAGCAATTGGTCACAAAGCACACATGATATAGTTTTGCTAAAAGGGAAAAAAATATTTCAAATGTGAATCTATTCATGTATCTTGATTTACACGTTCATAAGACTATAAATACAGAGAACAAAGAATTTCCTAAATTATAAAACTAATATGGCTTTCAAAATTCAGCCTGTTGGGAACCGGCAGTTAGCGTAATGGCTATGTCGCTGGACTCCCACGTAGTCGACCGCGGTTCGTGTCCCGGACCCGGTGACTTAAAACTCACGCCGGGCGCGTGTGCGTGCGTTTCCAAGATCCCGAGAGGAGAATGGAGGAGAAGGAATTGCGGCGTGACCAGCCCCCCTGGGGGGTGATTTCTCGCTTTCTGTCTCTATGTCTCTCTCTGTCTGTCTGGCGAGCGCACACGCCCTACAGTGAAAATCTCTCAAAAAAAAAAAAAATCAGCCTGTTAAAACTCTACAGGATAAATGAGCTAGATTTTTCAAACAAAAAACTGCAAGGGTTGGGACCAGCAGTTAGCGTAATGACTATGTCACTGAACTCCCATGTAGTCAACCGCAGTTTGAGTCCCACACCCAGTGGCTTAAACTCACACTGGGCGCGTGTGCGTGCGTGCCCAAGATCCCGAGAGGAGAATGGAGGAGAAGGGATTGCGGCGTGACCATCCCCCTTGGGGGGTGATTTCTCGCTTTCTGTCTCTCTGTCTCTCTCTGTCTTTCTGGCAAGCGCTCGTGCCCTATAGCAAAAACTTCTCCAAAACAAAACAAAACGAACAAAAACTACAAAGGTTAAAAAAAGTGAAAAATCAGCAGATTAAGAGAAATTTAGGAGACCTGTGAACCAGTTTATGAACTTTATTGTAATCTGTTACAAGCAAATAGTATTTTATATATTTATAATGTATAAATGTATAAACCTGACAAAACGTGATATCTGGGAGTCCAGATAATCTAGGTGTGGTTAGGGAGAGAGAAGGGGGAAGACTATAATATGACTAAAACAGTGACAAGTATGCAGGGCTCCTTATAAATCTTTTCACTTTCATGTACATTTGAATTTTATTAAATAATAGTTTTAAAGATAAAAATGGTATTTTCATAATTTCTGTCATAATAATGTTCTAAAAATATTTCCTGTACTGTCATTTACTCTAATTCTTCTCTATGTTAATCTTTAAATTTTGTAATCGCCACCTTTGTGCTTCTTTGGGCCCTATAACTCTTTACATGACCACTGACCTCCCAGCAGTCAGCTTCCAATCTAAATTAATATTTATTTTAAGCATTAAGGAGGGTTTTCATGGACCAGTAGATGGTATGGAGGTTAAAGCTGATGGATTCCACATGGCTGATTGCACGGTTCTAGTCCTAGACCCAGCAGTTTGAAAATCACATTGGGTGCATATATGCATGCATGTCTACAATCCTGTGAAAAGAACGGAGGAGAAGGGATTCCAGCTGTGCTCATCCCCTCAGGAGGTGATTTCTCACTTTCCCTCTGTCTGTCTGTCTGTCTCTCTCCAGTGAGCACATGAGCTCTATGGCAAAATCTAAAAAAAATGAAATGAGTAATTAATTTATTCCTTTTGTAGTTATTGTCATTGTCCTGCTATATCTGTAAATCATAAATCATTACTGTTAATATATCAGTGTATTTACATACAGGTGAGTATATATATATATATATATATATATACACACACATACACAAGTATGTACTGATGTCTTTCTAGTTGTCTTATATAAACAAATACTTTACACTTTTTTTTTTTTTTAGAGAGAAATTTTTGCTAAAGGTATATGTGCTTGCCATAGAGATAGAGAGAGACAGAAAGCAAAAGATCATCCTCGCGGGGGGATGGTCACACCTTAATCCCTCCTCCTCCAATTCTCCTCTTGGCATTTTGCAGGCACACACACAGGCACCCAGCATGAATTTCAAGCCACCAGGGCCCAGGACACAAACTGCAGTTGGCCACATGGAAGAGTCACTATGGCACCTGCTGGTCCCTACTTTAGGTTATTTTTATTTTATTTTTTGGGGGGAGAGGTTTTTGCTACAGGGCATGTGCACTTGCCAGAAAGACACAGACAGAGGGACAGAAAGCGAGAAATCCAACCCCCCCTGGGGGGGATGGCTATACCACAATCCCTTCTCCTCATTCTCCTCTTGGGATCTTGGGCACACACACACACGTGCCCGGCTTGAGTTTAAGCCACAGAGCCTGGGACTCGAACCGCAGTCGACTACATGGGAGTCTAGTGACATAGCCATTACAGCAATTGCTGGTCCCTACACTTTTCTGACATATTTTTTATTTATGTATATTTATTTTTTAATTTTCTTTTTAAATTTCATTTACTTTATAATCACTCACTGAACACCATCACAGCGTACAATATGCGATTTCCTATCCATATTTTATCATTTATTTTTTTAATTTCAAGAAAAGCAGTTTCAACTTTAAATCAAAATCAAAGAAATGCTGAGAGTCCTACTTTACACTTTTTAAATTAAAGAAAATACTGAGACAGTTAAACTATTTTAAAGTGAACTTTCAGAATCCCAACGCAACATAGTAAATAAAACCTTAAGAGATAATAAATAAAATCTGATGAAAGTACTTTTAACTTTAATGTTATGGTTTCAAAAGAAATACATGCATACCTGGATTCTTTTTTTCTTTTTCTTTTTTTTTTGGGACAGAGTATAAAATACTCAGAATTTATTTTAAAAAATAAATGTCAAATACTTTCCTGATGTTCATTTTTGAAACTGAAAAGTGGGCTGAAAGTTAATTTAGTCCTTTAGATTTGTCTTTATTAGTGAAAGAAGAACACAGCTCAGCATCGTGAAGGTGGGGCAAACCTCATTTTTCTCCCTACATCACACTATTTCTTATACTCAAGTAAATTTCTTTTTCTTTTTTAAAAAAGGTTTTTGTTTTAGGGTGCATATGCTTGCCAGAGAGAGATAAGAGACAGTGAGAGGGAAAGTGAGAAATCACCCTCCAAGAGGGATGGACATGCCGCAATCCCTTCTCCATTCTCCTCCCAGGATCTTGGGCACACATGCACACGTGCCTGGCATGATTTTCAAGCCACCGGGTATGTGACTTGAATGGCAGTCAGCCATATTGGAGTCCAGTGACATAACCACTATGCCATCTGCTGGTCCTAACATTCTTTCCTATGCTTTCTATAGAAAAAAATTAGGAGCAATCAAAATTTTCTCCAAGACCAGGGAAA